TAGGCACTGCGCCAGCCGAGCTCCGCGGGAGGGACCCCTGCGCCGGGTAAAGCACTTGAGACCCGCGGAGGCCGGAGGGCAGCTGCCCTGCCCTGCCCTGCCCTCCCTCACGGCGAGAAGTCACACACCCCCTTACACCCCCCCGCCAACCCCGGACGCCGCCTCGGGGGGTTTAATGCCGGTCTGTCGGCCCAGCGCTGCCCCCGTTTCCAGGCTTCAGCCTTTCTGGGCTTGATGAAGAGTAGGACTTGCCTCGTGGTCTTCTTCATGTCCCCTCTCCCTTGCAACCTCCCAGCTGGGCGTAGGGGAGGCATAGAAAGGGCCTTTCACAGTTCTGGTGGGTGAAAATTCATGTCGAAGTGTAATTTATGTGCATAAAATCTTTAGTGGAACCGTTCAGACTGTCTGGGAGAAGGTGGGAGGTCCAGGACAGTAATAAATAAAAAATTTTGAGTCCAGATGAAAGCTGCCATACGCCTTCATTGATGCAGTCTAGGTTTTATAACTTCTCTAGAAGAAAAAAATTTTTCCTGCAAGCAATCCCATTTTTGATTAAAACAGTCTTGCAACAGCTTTCCCTACAATAATTCCAATGATTTCATGAATCTGGAGATCAGTGTATGTACAGCAATATGCAACTTTGTATTAAAAAAAAAAAAAAGCAGAGGGTTTTACTGAATTTTCTTTCTCTGCCACTGACTAAACCTTATTTAAGCCCATGCACAGGGGCCGGCACTGCATCCCCTCCTCTCCCTTCATTTGCAACTGCCTTCAGGGCCATAAGATACCCCACGCGGTTTCTAATTAGCTCACAATATTTAAGCACCTCTGAAATTAAGTTATAACTTCTAAAACTTCAAAATTCATAAGTAAAAGCTCTGAGACTGTTCATTTGTGTTTGCAAAGTCCTTTTTATTTTTAAAATAGAAATGTTTCAAATACATAGAAGTAAACATTGAAAGGTTTATTTAACATCCCCATTTTTGACCAAAAGTCACAATTTCTTCAAAAGTTTATTTCACAATATTTTTTTTTTTTCATCAGCAGCTCAATATTAGAGTGACTATTACAAGCATTTTCTTATAAAGGTGTAGTTTACAGATTTTGTTCAAACTGGAAAAATATTTTATAAGCAGTAGTATTTCATCTAGAGTATTCACTCCTGTCTATCATTCAGCTTCTCTGAGAGCATATATAGCTTCTGTTTGTTAACATAACGAGACTGCACAAGCCCCCCCCCCAACCTTCAAACAAACCAGACATTGCAGTGTAGTAGCACATATTTGGATAATTTGGTGTTTCTTCTAATTTCACATAATTTTGAAGTTTTTGTCAACTGGCATTTACATTTTGATATCAATTGTGTACTCATTGAAGACTATGTCCTCCGGATTGTTTTGCTTACCATCTACGTTGCTAGAACTTCTTTCAGGAAAAAAAAATAAATTATGACTGTAATACACATGTGAATCAAAGTTGGAGTAAAAAGGTTCATGGCAGTTCAAAAAATTAATTTTAATCAGATTTATATGCAATGACAAAATGCTAATTTTCAGTTAAATATGGTTTGAAAGAATAGGTTTGCACAGTTTTGTTCATTTTTTAAAATGGAGGAGGAATGACCTGTTGTTTCAAGTGCATCTTTTTCACTTGTATTTTTTCCAAATCACACAAATGGAAGGTCATACCTTGCAAAGACTTTAGTGGTGATGTGATTTCAGCGTTTAAGTTGCAGCATCAGGAAAGGCGGCCACTATGCTTAAACTCTGAAACACGCCCACATGTTGTTACTGTTTCGCTCATACTTTTAGTTAAAACGGAATAAATCACATGAGCAAAAGATGTTTATGATGTAAGATTGCATTAATTCAGTCTTGAGGTCTGATGTTGTTTTCTACAGTCAAGGACTACAACAGCTTTACAAGGTGAAGGATAAGCAACCTCAGCTATAAAATGCCAATGAAAGAAAAAAAAAAAAAAAGCAAGTTTCTGGTGAAAATGAAGCACATAAGTTGTTCTGGATGCTTCCTGTAGACCAGACGGCAGATGCGTGAACTTGCCTTTGAAGAGTTGGTTTTGTAGTGATGGTGTTTTGTGTGATTTGTTTTTTTTAGGTGTTTGTTTGTTTTTTATCCCCAATAGTAATTTTCTGAGATACATAATACATACAAAAATCAGTAAGAGTCAGTATTGTTTTTTTCTTATTGTTTCTGCAGACCTCCTCAGAGTGACATTTTGCAAGCAGACCTAAAAATCCACAAACAGGTTATGATGACAGAACAATAAAATATTCCCACATTTTAACACTTGTTTCAGAGGAACAACGGTTGAAAAGTCAGTTACCTTAGTAACAGCTAAAGGCACACAGTGGGAAAATGTTCAGCTTAATAATAAAACTAAGAACAGGACTGGAAAACAACCAGCTTTCTCTAAGCCACATTTTGTGTTAAATTTGCTTTTTAAATAAGTGCCAATCTGAGGAAAGGCATGCTTGAGCACAGCAATTTAACAAAATTAACATTTAAAAAAACCCTTTAAAAATTGCTAGCAGAAAAAGTAACATGTATTAAAGGTATTTCATACAGAGTCCTCTTCCAGATGGATTTTAATGGATAAACTACATTAGCACAGATCAATACATTAAATCCCCGTTCCCATCTATACATACCTAGAGTTTTTAAGAAAGTCTCTTCATTGTACACATAAATTGTGATCCTGAAAATGCCAGTGAAGGACCATTATCCCCTAAAAGGCCGTAAGCCACATTTTATAATTGAGATCAGCAAGGAAATTGTTGCAGAGCAACCTGTCATTTAGTCTGAATGACAAGCATTGGTTTAATCAATCTGCTGGGAACTGTACTCTGAATAGTTTACATCAGAGAGAGGTAGAGACCTGAAGAGAGCCTGAGAGGAAACTGCTGGCCTAAGATGAATTCTGATAAATGGCTCCATGTTAAAACTGCCTTACAAAGACCGAATTCTGCCTTTTTTTTTTTTTTTTTTTTTTTAAAACCTGTGATGACTACTGTAGCATGTAAAAAAGAGACAAGATACAATTAAAAAATTAAATTTGGAGCACTGCAAAAACATTCACTTGCAAAACCTGAAAAGAGGTAGGTATAACAAATAATATTGTAGCTGAGCAACTGAGAGAAGAGTGTGGGCTTGCTAGGCACAGACAGCAAGATGGTGGTGTTACCCTTGTGCATGAAGGGGAGATGAAGGCACTACTGAGTATACGCTGTAGATGCAAGTGCTCAAGGACTGGAGTTTGGAGGTAGTGCTGGTACTGCAAGCAGTAAATTTTATTCTGTAATTAGCTGGGTGATGCTCAGGAGAAAAGATAACTTCTTCCTAGGGAACGGCCTTAAATTTGTCCTTCACTGGTAACAGCTGTACTAAACCATAGTCCGCTTGGAACAAGGTATTTACCTAATGGCATAGACCAATATAATTCTTCACAGCACACAACTTTTTCTTTTAAAATGTGCTTTTGGGATAGTAATATACATGTATAGTACATACAGGACTATTACAGTTTGTATCTACATTATATACATTATGTCTAAATCAAAATGCACTCCTTGTCTAAAACAGTGACTGCAGCATGGTGGGATTTAGTGTATCTTTAAAAAGACTTCATATTCTGTTTTAATCCTCTGAGCAGACAGGTCACCTGGTCATAAATTGATCTGCTGTTTGGGTATGATTTACGCCAGCTAAACACAGTCAGAGGCAGAGAATTGCTGAGACTCCAGGAACCGCAACCACAAAAGCAGGTTAAGTTCAGATCTGCTTGGACAAGACCGAGCGGAAGGGAGCGAAGTGGCAAGGGAGAAATGCTCACTGTGCTGGGATGAGCATGGCTTTTGCTCGCTGCTGCCAGTCATCCTCGCTGCACTTTGGCAAAGCATAGCTCCACAGCAACTGGGGATTCCACACCACATGGTAAGTACCAAGCAAAATCAGTGACTGCTTTTCTGAGTGGCTGGCCCCTTTCAGCGTTCACCTGGCGAGGTCAGAGGGTTGGTTTGTATTGTAAAAAAAAAAAAAAAATCCTAACAGAATTTGAATTGAACTGACACGTTTAAGGTTGTTGCAGACAAAGAGTTCATGTTTGCTCTTAAAGAAACAGACTAACCCACTATCTTACAGCTTTGTTTGTGTTAAGACATTTCATTGCTCATCCGTTCCCTCTTGTTTTAAAACTTTTTGTTTGTTTGTTAGTATTTTTCATCACAATAGGTAACATTTCAGATGGCTACTGCACTGAACAGATTTTTCCATAGACTGCTATGGCTAGGACTAGCCCACTGAACATAAGTAGGACTGGAGACCTGATGATTAAACTGGGCTGCTTTCTGATACAAGCCATGTAAGAGGTCTAAGAGTCTTGACAGACACTGGATGAAAATTTTTGGCTTTGAAAAGCACAGGAAAGCCAACAGTAGGGATCAGGATGATGCCTGTCTATACTAGAAGCAGACGGCCTAAAGCAGTCCCTTGCCTTGAGATTATTTCAGTAGGACAAAACCTTTTCAAGTGACTAAGGTAAATCTGGTGCTGGAAGAAAGTCCAAACTGCCAATTTATTTGAATTTACATGAAGCAGATGTACTGGATGTAGTTAGGAAAAGCACCAGCATTTCTCAAACACAGAATTTGTGACAAATTCCATGCCAGTGGAAACAAGCAGCATCCAAGCTCGTTACCTTAATACACACTTGCACCTTCTGCAGTTTACTTTCTCAACTCAAGTACCACGATACAGTTACTAGCAAGAACAGGAGGCAGAATTGCATGTCCCGTTATGAATACATACAAAACCACCTAGCTATTAGGCAAATTACATGTCCTTCAAGGCAGCGTGTCTCAGATTTTGTTGTTTATTTAACTGTGATTTCTTCATGGACACCTATAAGATCGAAGTAACTTGTCTCCCACTCACACTTCTCTTTTGTTAGTGGCTTTTGGAGATGGTTATGGGCTTTGAACTATGTCAACATAAAATCAAGCAGTAAAAAATGTCTACATTTCAAGTATCCTTATTCCAAGTTGCAAATTACCCAAAAATCACATACAGATCAGTCTCTTTCTTACTGTATGGTTTAGCATCCATGTATTACTGTGTATTGGTTCTTCCATAAGCCTGTTTGGTCCATAAAGAGTGTCTAAAATCTGTTTTGTGATTTTTCTTTCTTCGCTGGCAGTCTCCGAGTAGGAGAGGTGGGCTTAATTAGACTTTCTTCAGACTTTCCTGAGAAACTCCAAGTTGAGAGAAGCAGGGAGATGAATTGAATCCATGGTTATGGAGGATGGGTTGAACGGGAACAAAACTGGGAACATGTGCTTGAAGTCCAGCAGCAGCTGCGGAGGGTCCTTTCGCTCTTGCAAGTGTGTCTATGAGGTGTGGGAGAGGAAAACAAATTCAGTATCATTGCCTTTTCTTTGCATTTGTCATGTTTATCATCATCAAAGGTTTGAGAATGTACACGATATTGCAAGCAACAGTTCTACTTTGTTCTCTATTGCAGCAGCCTTCCTCCAAGGAAGTATTTACAGAACTTCTACACAGACTGTAGGAAACACTGCTTCTGAAGAACCTTGCTATATTTTCTATGTGACCAAGAAGCAAGACACAGGACTTGGAAACAATATGACGCTCTTGCACAGCAAAAACAACACTGCATGATACCAGCAGAACACTTTTGATTCAGCTGCTCAGTGATGGAGACATATTCTAGGAGCATTAAAAGCATTCTAATGCTTTTAATTTAATTAGAATTAATTTAATTCTAATACTCCAGCGAGCATTAAAAGATGTTTGGTTTTCATTTAGTTATTTTTCCTTTAATTGCCAATTTCTGCCTTGTATCTCAGAAGTAACTCCACCGATTCACTGACTCCTGCAACCTTACTTCTGAGTCGTGTAGCTACTAAGGAGCATTGGATTAGCTCAGCTGGGAACTTTGGTGCTTAATTGCTCTTTGTGACTAACAGCCTAGTTATCCCTGCAGCTGTACGTCACACGTAAGTGTGTGCACATGCAGAGCACAAAATTCAGGACAACGTGCAGCAGCATGCCTATTACAAAATGCCCGAGTTAGTACTAATGACATCTGTACTAAATCATTACTTTCTCCTCCACTTTACAGCTCTTTAATTTACCTGGATGTTTCGTATGAAAGCTACTGTCACACGCTCTTCAAACTCATGCATAGGAGTGTAGAGATTAAGTATTTTGACAATCTGTTGAAAACAAAATAGGATTACACAACAGTCATGAGAAGTCAAACTTTTCCAGAATACAAGACACCATTAACAATTTGTCTTGATATAACCATAGCAAGTCTCTCGTGACACTGCTGAAAAGCAGAAGTAGTACAAGTATGATCCTGGTGTTCCTTTGCCTGCTCCAAGGCACAGAAAGCCTCTGCAGACCTGTCCAAGTCACGTCTCATGGCAACGTTTGTAAATTGGGAATAGACTTGAGCCAACAGATTTATACAGTGCCACTCAGGAGGCACATGGTGACAGGGGTGACCACTTCCCAGTGCTCTGATGTTACCTCTACAACACTTCTGATGCTCCCTCACTCCTGCTCCTCCCTTACCAGCCCTTGCTTCTCTCAGGAACACATGTTCAAGACAAGGGAGATGGAGATACAGGAGGAAGGATCTCCAAGAACCACTGGAGATCAGCTCACACCTCTTGCTTCTCCTTTCCTATGACACGTTCAAATTAAGGCCAAGCAATCCAGCAACAAAACCATGAGTTTATATCCGCCGGGAAAGGAGTGAAGCTTAAGGTCAGATCTAGTCAGCCTAGGTGGGCAGTTCTCCACCTTCTGCCCCAAATATGAATCCTTGGTGGGCATCCTGCAGACTTAGCCAGGTTAGACCCTGGCAAAAGACAACAGGTGGGTTTAAAACCCCAAGTGTCTGACTTGTACCATGAATTCCTCCTCAGGGCTGGGTTTCATCTTTGCAGGTTTCTGGAGCCCCAGTGCCTTCAGTGGCACTGTGAGAGAGGAGCCACGGCAGTGACCACCTCTGACAGAGTCAGTACCGAACACCAGTCCTTGAAAAGGACAAATTGTCCCCACTGGGGGAATGGCACACTGAATCTGGGCAGTGAAGAGCTGGAGCCGGGAGACCACCCTTTCCCACTCCTTTATCAGTGCCCTCCTGTGTAAATCTCTGCCCTGCTCCCTACCTGCTGGGTCGTGAGTGACGTGCACAAGGAGCAGATGGCCTCAGCATCTTCTGAGGTTTTCTTTTTCAGCTGTAGAAGCTGTGCTGCCTGAATCAAGGGCTCCAAAGTTTGTGCTGCTCCGCTCTGCTGCAGATTCTTCCCATGCAGCCACTCCTCCAGCTGGTTTATGTTAAACCTGGGTGAGCAACCAAGTTGAGAAGTGAGCTGAGAGCTGAGAAAGAAGACATAGCATCTCAAAAATCCTCTATGAGACTCAAGGTATGTTGCAGTGTTAGTATATGTGTTGGTATATGTGGCCATGTATACCATGTTGGTATACATGGCAAGAGAAAACCAGACCAAAGCTTAATACTCAGCAACTCAAAGCAAAATTTATACTCTATCTACCTTAGAAATAAACAAGCCATGTAACGGTTTGGATTGTGCTTTTCTACAGCACTCAGCTATGTTCAAGTTTCAAAATCCAATTAAATTTAAGCTTTTAACAAGCTTTGAAGTACTAACAAAACATCTTTTTTTTTAAAAGATCTACACAAAAAATGCCTTTGTCTGTGCCCACCCCCAGGCTCAAAGGGAACATGCAAAGGATCTACCATGGGAAGGGGAGGGTAGCAAAAGGAAGGTTTAAATCATTTACACTAATAAGTGATAGATTTATGCCAGGGCTGACAGACATTCAGGACCCCCTTCTGGAAGGTTTGCCCTAGCTGTCCTTTCAAATTTCAGTCCTTATTACAACACTACACTGCGACAGCTATGGGGCACACAAGCCCCTCATCCCAGCCCAGCAGACATCTGGCTGGCATCTGCCTGCACATCTCACAGCTCATGAGAGGCCAGAGGCCCTGCACACAGCAACACGGGCTGGCTCTGAAGATCCACCTGCAGAACTGGAGCCTTTGACACTACAACACTTGTTACATTAAAACCAGCAGACACAGCAGCGGGAGAGAAGCATGAAGACTTCTCCATCCCAGTGTTCAATCCGACCTACATCACCTGGTGCAGCCTCTGGGCTGTGCAGCCTTCCTGCTCAGGCTGGGTGAAGCAAGGGTGGGGAAAGCCTACCCCTGAATAATTACTATAACACACGTTTAATTCACAAGCAGCAAACTGCATTGCACAGGCATTACACAATGGGGCATTACACAGTGACCCTGCATCGGTCTCCTGCTGAATCCAGTTTCTCCCCTTACTTAACACCACTGCAATTTATTTTCCACCACCTTATAAAATTAACAAAATTTCCTTAAAGCGGGTACATCCCCGCCCCAAGGCCACATCTCACCTTAGCTGCATGCCTGTGCTCCACGAGCAGACATCCTTCCTCAGCAGGAGGTTGTTCAGGGTGATCGCACTGATCATGTAGAATAGCTGCCTGAAGATCTGCTGCACGATCTCCGGATCCAGTCCCTGGTCACACATGATGCTGTGGAACATGTTCAGCTGGCGAATGACTGCATCTAAGCTGTAGGAGCTGTCACCATCTGCCATGCTGGAGGAGCGATTTCTGTAGCCCATCGATTTGACACTGGAGAGCCCCTGGATGCTCTCATTTTCCAACATTGCAGATGCTGAAAAAAGGGGGGAAAAAAATGAACCAAAAATGCCTGCATCCACCTGTTATCAATAGAGGTAAGAGCTGATCCCTCCATGGGCGTGCAGAAGTCTCAGGAATGCAACACAATGGATGCTAGGAGGTCTGAAAGCAGGACAGATCCATGAATTGTTAGGTTACTGTGACAATATGAAATAGTTAAAGCATTCAAAATACCTTTAGGATCACACTTTTTTTTCCTTGATGTTACTAACAGAAATCACTTACCATGCTGCAGAAACAGGGAACAGCTCTCCTCTGAGTTGTAATCAACTCTCTCTCTATACCCACCACAGAGCCTTAAATTCTGCAGTTAAAATGATTAATTGGCTCAAAGGATTGTGAGAAATGAAGATAGATTGAAAGTAATAAAATCCTTACAGCCTGGCTAACTGATGGAGGAACAGGACAACTTTCTGCAAGGAGCAGAAGGTATATGCAGTGATGGTAGGCACTGATGCTGTCGGACACAGCAGGAATTTGTGCAATGACATTTGGAGGGTAAAGGGAAAAAAGTCCTGGACACAAAGGAGTCCAGGCTGGGAGCTCAAGGAAAACAACAGCAGCTAGAAAATATAAAGCACTGAGAACAGCACCTCAGTTAGCTTAGCTTAGCGAGGAGGAGGAGGGATTTAGCTCAGGAGGTACCTCTTCTTATAAGAACAGAACACCAGGTTGGCCCAGCCCCTGTCCAGCTGAACCTTAGAAGTGTCCAATGTTGGGGAATCCACCACTTCCCTGGGGACATTATTCCAGTGGCTGATTGTCCTCATTCCCTGAAAAATTTTCCTCTCATGTCCAGTCAGAATATTCATCCCCAGGAGTAACATCTACTAGTTAGCCCTCATCTTTTCCATGTGACTCCTTGCACAAAGGGAGTCTCCATCTTCTCTGTAGCCACTCTTTAAACACTGGAACACAGTGATAATCTCTCCCCTCAGCCTTCTCTTCTCAAGGCTGAACAAACCCAACTGTCTCAGCCTTTCCTCACGTGGCTGCCCAGTCCCTTGATCACCTTTGTGGCCCTTCCCTGGACCCTCTCCAGCCTGGCCACATCTTTCTTGTATAGCGAGGACCAAACCTGAACACAGTATTCCAGGTGTGGCCTGACAAGCGCCCAGCAGTGTGAAATAATGACTCTGCTGGTGATGCCCTTGATCAGGCAACGCAGCAACCTGTTGGCTTTGTCTGCCACTTCACTGCATTGTTCACTCGTATTGAACTTGTTACTGACTCACCCTTGCAAAACAAGGTCTTTATCAGTCTTGTTTTCCTCTTCCCCGTTCTCTCCTCCCTCATAATGTGCATTTATACCCATAAAAAGCTTAACCCTGAATCTGGTCTGGAGGGGAATGCTGTTCCTATGGACTCACCAGCACCACGTTACCTCTGTCACCACCTTCTCCAGCAGAAAGGAATGAGCTATCTTCTAGCATGGGGGAAAAAAAAACCTCACCCCTATTAGCTTCTGGCACAGGAGAAAATAATCCAAATATTCCTAACTCCAGGTCACTGCTACCAAGAGGACCCGGTCCAAACCAGGACTTTTTTTGTAACATATGCCTCTCTACCAACTGCAGGCTTTTCCTTTGGGGAGAAGTCATGTACAAAGGTCTGAAAAACACTCAGAGGAGGTAATTACAGGAAAAAAAACCCCAAAACTCCTAAAAGCTAATGTGCTGTGAACTTACCGATCATGGGTTGGAGTATGCCCTCTGCTACCTTGATAAGCTGCTGGTAGATCTGGATGGAGAGGTGGCTCAGCACCTGGCGGTACTCAGTCAGGTCAAAGTTCTTCAGACAGTGCTCATTCTGCTTAGGTGTGTTTTGTGTCATGAAACCCTGAACAGAAAGAGATTAAAACACCTGGTTTCATTATGTCACCTATTTATAGTCCAGTAAAGTCACTGTATTAAAAAAAACCAAAAAACCTTAGAGTACAATACATCCAGATATGTCACCAAAGTAGATTTTTTTTCTGTAAGAGTAAAAATGAACTCATAAATCGCCTTTGATTTACTCAGCCCTTTGTTCATAAATTATTACTAGAGGGCTGCTTTTTGACGAAAAGCATCATTAATTGGTAAGTTTTTAATTTTAGCTTTATCAAGGAGCAACATTTGTATTAATTACAATATATATATGAATTAGAAAGTGACATTTCAGTTCCTGGGAAACTTTTTTAGCTATTTGTTTATTCTTGTGAGTCACAATCATTTAAGGGAAACCAAGTATTTTAAGATTAAGATTTTTGAAAATGAAAAAAAAAGCTACATGCTATTTACTTTAATATTTTAAACTGATCCGAAGTTCTGAAATCTCTCCAAGTAACTGAATTTATTCCCTGCCTTTACCTGATGAAGTGGCTGATCTCTGATCCTGTAATCCTGAGTTCTGGGCTCAGCCATTAATGCCAGTTTTGCTGGCAGAAGAAAATGTGATCTAACTTAAATTTTGTAATTAACACAAATGCTTTAATTGCCTGATCATATGGTCTTACCAATTTGGTGTCAAAATGAGAACTATGCAACTTGTATGTTGTTTGCTGACTAGCAAAATGCAAAAATACAACACGTACAATTTGAGTTGACTTTAGAATTTCTCCATTTTCCCAACTGATGAAAAAGTGTTGTGCACTGCAAGATCGCATTTAGTTTGGAGTTTTCTTTTAAACCTGTTTTCTTAAAAATAGGTTGGAATTCCACTTAAAGATAATAGTATTTTGGAAACTGCTCAGAATGATTTTCCCTCTCTTTTTTTTGCGCCAAATTATCAACTGAATTTTCAAATAGCTGGTTGGTTCATTTAACACAGTAAATCATGGCAAAGAATGTGAAATTAAAGTTGTTGGGGGGTTTTTTGTTTGTTTTTTGTTTTTTTTACCTTGCTGGTTTTCTGGGGAGGATTTTCTTTAAATTGTAATGTTGTTATTCAGGCAGAAGAGGGCAAACAGGAGCACAACTATTAGTAAATATTATCTAAATTATTGTTCTTTTAAATTTAAATCTTTGAAATCCAGCTCTGAGGTTTTACACACCAGTCTATCTTGTGAATAATCTGAATAGTTGATTCCATTAATTTATTTTTTTTTATTCTTAAAGCCTGACTGCTCAACATATCTAACACAAGTCAAGACTAAATGAGAAATTACATAATCTGGCTCTGCTGAAAATTTTAATACCCAGAACATATGGCTATGATGATGGCAGCGTGTAATGTACTAAGAGGACTGTGATGATGTGATTTTGTTGGAAGGGATTGGCTATAATAAAACCTATTTCAACTTACAAAATATTACTGAGGTGGCAAAAAATGAGAGGCTTTCCTTCCCAAATCTTATGATTATGCATTTTTGCTCTCTCAAAGTGTGGTCATTTTGAACTAGCTGAACAGAACGGGAAAAAAAAAACCAGTAGAAACGGGTAGAATAAAACTGCAAGATTTGGAAGTTTTCTTCTGTCTGAAAATCTTGGTTAGTGAAAAGTTGTGGGACCTAGTAAAACCAGGGGAACAGCCTTTAAAACAGCCTACCAGAAGGAAATCCCCTCTTCAGACCAATCAAAGTGCATGGCTGGCTATGAAATTCAAAATATTCTGTTACATGTTGTAAGGGTTCTGGTTTCAGCTCTCAAATGTCTTTTCTCAGTGCAATGTCCCATGAACTTCTGGTCTAGTTCAGACTAGATAGAAGGAAGAAATTGTTTATGATGAGTGTGGTGAGGCCCTGGCAGAGGTTGCCCAGAGAGGTGGTGGATGCCCCATCCCTGGAAACATTCCAGGCCAGGTTGGACGGGGCTCTGAGCAACCTGATCTAGTGAAGATGTCCCTGCCCATGGCAGGGGGTTGGACTAGATGGCCTTTAGAGGTCTCTTCAAACCCAAACCAGTCTGTGATTCTACCATTCTAGGAGCTGCCTCATGTTATTAATCATATTAATAAAGGATGAAAGTCAGAGGTGACCCCATGTTGTAGCCAGAGGGAAGCCACTAGACCCAGGAGACCTGAAGACCATTCCTGGAGGGATATCAACATACTCAAGATCAACCATGAGTTTCTTACCTCATCTCCACTGTACTGCTTTAAACAGTGCAGGAGGCGGCAAGTATTTGCCAGCCAAAATGACGTCATCTCAAAATCATTGTTGTGTTTCTGGAGGAGCAAAAATAGAACGTGTGAGATGCCCCCTTCAGCGGGGGACACTGGCATTGCAAGACAAAGTATTTCCCTACCTAGAATCAGAAGGCTCCCTCTGCAGATGGACAGTATTAGCCATTTGTTCCCCGATAACTTTTTTTTTAAATCTGGAAAGGCAAACAATTTTGTTGCTAAGATCATAATTTTCCTTGTTCGTCTAAAAAGGGAAGCCATAAGAGTGATTTGAAAACCCCTAGGAGAGCTGAATATCACACACTTTGGCATGGTTACCATCCCACACCATCTCAACCCCAGGACAAGAGAAAAGAGACACTTACCTTCAGCACTTTTTTAATGCCATTGATGCTGGAGGTGAGCAAGGAGTGCACTTTCTGGTCATCACTGATGTAATCCGCATGTCTGATGCACATGCAGAGGATGTAGGCAGGAAGGCAGGGAACAGTAGCAGATACTGCCTGGGGCTTGAGATCTAGAAGGTTTGGTGTTTTGTGGTTATTTTTAATTTTTTTTTGTTTTCTTAAATCCTCTTAAAATTCACCAACTGCCAGGTGAAGCAGGGAATGCTAGAGCTGGAGACCTACCCAGGCAAACCCCTCTCACCCCAGCCCCGGGGAAGCTGAATTTTGGCTCTGCAACTTGCATCCCTCTCTGCAGCGTGGACACAGAGCCAGAGGTCCAGCTGCAGGACAGACGGACCTGCTGAGGCCAGCCAAAGCAGAAAAGCTGCAGCCCTAGGCTCGGGAGGGTAGCAGTGTCCGCACTGAGGCTTATGACACCACCCCATTACACCTTAGGGATGCACATGTAGCACTAGATCATCTTTACCATGTCAAAGCCTGCCCAAGCAGCACAGAAATAGCCTTAGATAAACTCCCCAAAGCTTTCAGGAATAACCCACAGGTTATAAACCCCTCCCTCTGAATTCATGACGTAATTAATCACTCTTTCCTTCGAGATACTGAATCCTAATGTAGCTGTGGGAATCTGCAGTCTCTGAAGAAAAAGCCTGTCTGATTAGGGGCACTTCAGAGACCACAGCAGCAGGCGAGCACTGCTCTTTGAACACTTTTCAGATACTCACTAGACTCTGCTGGGGTTAGAGAGTGATGGTAAATACTAACACTTAGCAGGACTTTTCTAAGAGCACTGAATAATGGGAATCTGCAGCAATTCTGATCAGACCTTCCAGCGTAAAACAACTCACAAGTTTATTATCTGTTATTATCTCATAAACCAAACGGCCTTTGTTCCATTGCTGCGCAAAATCATTGGGTTCCATCCTTTGCTATCCCCTCCCCATGTACTACCACATCCTATGAAGCTCAGGAAGTTACCATCTGCTCTGAAAACTGCAGACTCCTTTTTGCATTTTTCCATTTTCTTCTGTTCCTAAGGATTATATCCATGCTGGTCTAGCTGCTTAGTGCTGTGCTGCTTTACCTACCATCACCATAAACATGCAGCCCCAGAAGGGATTAATTTGAGAAGATCTATTTGCCTATATTGAGATCTCCCAGGCAAGAGAAGAAGGAGCCAGGCACAGGAGCAAAGCAAGTTCCTCACCTATAATGAGGTTTTGGATGAGGAGTGGCTCATCTTCTTTAAAATATTCCAACATGCCCTGAAAATCTTTCTCCTTCCTCTGGACAACAGCTTGCATTTTACTCTCGTGCTGCCACCCTTCCGCCAGTATTGGGCTTTGGGATTCTGTGAAAAGAGCATGAATGCTATTCATGTCCTCCATTGGCCTTAGAGCAGACACCAGGTCAAAATGTTATATAGTAAGTTTCCAATAATGTCATCAGCTTCAGCAGACTTATGAGAATCTAAAGAACCAGGTTCTGAATTACCAATCAGCAGTAGTTCTGATTCTCAATGAAAGAAAGAGTGCAAAAGTTGGACCTAAGGAGGAAAAGATGAAGTCATTTTTTATTTTCCAAGGAACCACAGGCTAGAAGTTAGTAACCCTATAGGAATTGTTTTAGTGTATCATTTTCACAGAGGGGAAAAAAATTAGCCAGGCAATGAAGAAATACCTACTCATCACCTCTTCTGGTTGGCTGTAAAGCTGAAGAACCGTGGTGACACACCATTGAGCGTTGTGCTTCCATAAAAGTTGAATAAAACAGGAGAGATCAGCATGCAAGTGCTGCAGTAAACAGCAGCCTGCTGCATGAAAATTACACTGAGAGACCAGCTGTGCTAGCCATGGAAACCTCCAGTTATTCAGCTTAATTTCACTTAATGCCTGGTTTTCAGAAATTAGCTCATGAGAACAAGGTTATGTGATTAATCACAGCGTCTCCAGAGAATGGGAAATTCCTTCTATAAAACACAGATGTCACATTTGAGGTGTTTTCTCATCAAGCAGAACATACACATGTATTTTGATCCTAAATTATTTTAATTCCCTCTCAAAATTGCCTGCTAGCCACTGCTCTCCTCTCTATAGCTCTGCTTGGGTCACAGCACTGTCAGCAATGAAAGCAAAAAGGCTTCTGTAAATATCTTCCAAACCCTGGTACACCAAGCATCAGACCAACACCTCCAGCAACCACTCTCCTTCCATCACTTCGTGGACCCTCCTCCAAGTTTACCACGTTCAACCACGTCAACAGGCTACAGCTACCGCAGCGATGCTGCGCTCGCTCAAAGGCAGCCTAAGACCGACCCAGGAGCTTCATCTGGATTTTCTGTGCCCTGCTGTCACGCTGACGATGAGCTCAGTGCTCGCTGCTAGGTCAGTGCCAGAATGAGCAAAATCTTACTTCAACAGAAAGAGAAAAACCTGCAGCTCTCCAAGGCTGGCCAAAGAAACAAAACCAGAGTGTTGCTCCCCCAGCCCAAAGCCTACCAAGAGCTGAATCTTTGACCTTCTTCACGTAAAACTTCAGCTGCTTCTTTAGCTTCATTTCATTGCTTTCCAAGTTCTCTAGCATTTCTTTAAGATCCTGAAAAATAGAAGATGCATTGGGTTAAAAAAAGACACCTCAAGAACAACTCATCTGGGGTGAGTTAGAGGCTGGAGTCACTCAGCAGCCTGGTCTCTGCAGCACGTGAACATCTTGGTAAAAGAAGAGCTGTGTTATTTCTGGGTGGCTCAGAGACACCCACAAAATTTATACAACCACAAAGACCGTGGGTGTTGTGTGTCTGCTTTTTCTAGAGGTAGCCCACAGCAGGCAATACTCACAACAGATCACCCAAAGTATTTTACTCCTGGCTGTTAATCATATGTAAACAGTTACCACACTGGATACTAGCACTGTGAAGAAAGGCAAGAAGCCCTCACCTGCTCAGGAGGGGCCAAGTGTTCACTCCAGACCTTGCACAGAGATACAGGAGGTGAGAAATGGAAAATGTATGATCAGCCAGGACAACTTTTTGGAGTGGCAACTGCCCCTCCCACCCCAATAAAAGTAAGAAGAAAGGATCGTGTCGTCTTTGTGCATAATTACAGAGTACAAGGGTCCTCAATGATCTCACTTAACAGGCAGTGCCACAAAGCAGACAGGTTTAAAAAACAGAAAAAATAAAGTAGCTAGGGAGTCACAAGAGTCATACAGCCACTGAACAACAGTTCAAAGCCAAGTACCAACACTCCCAAATGCACCAGTGAGAGACGCTGAAGGATTCCACAGAGAGTTTAGGAGGGGTGGAAGAGACCCCAGTGCCTTCTCCCCTTCACATTTCCTGTCTCCGTTCTCTCAACCTGTTACTTTTTCCCCTTCTTTATTAAGCTATGTCTCTTACAGTCTCAGTACAGTCTCTTACCAGATTTTCATTGGTGAGACGTGTAATTTCTTGCTGAATTCCAAATTCCACCTGGACCTTTGGAGACAGCTGCAGGGTGGTCTGCAGGACAGCCTGCTGCTGTTTCTCCATCTCTTCTTTCATTGCATCCACCTGTTTTTTCAGAGCTTCTACCTCCTCCTCATGCTCTCTTCTCTGATCTTGGAGCTGTGCTTCCAGCAACCTGAGAAAGGACCACACCAACCAGCCTGTGATTTCAGCATCGTGGTAGTAACTGCCATTTGAGTTTACATCCTTCAAAGTCAGCCAATGTGGGAGACGTTCCTGGTCAACCTCCCTACAAAACTTGACACACGCAAAGGGGTGCTACAGCTATTATTGCCACATTAGTCTGTCATTTGCTATACTGCAGATTAAATACTTTTGAAATTAGAGACATGAAAGCAAAAGTTTGTGAAGGTTTGGGTTTTTTTTTAAATAATAGGGGGAAGAAAAAAATAAAATCCAAGATCTCCCTTTTTTTCTGCAACCATATCACAGATTTGGATTCCTTTACTCTTCCCATTAGCAAGAAGCAAACGTAAATACATCAGTTCTTGCTCTTGAAAACTGAACTGTGTATCTTGCAAATGGTTCTGGGCAGTTGGACTGCCAGGGGCTTCCTTTGCTACCGCTGGGAGTTTCAAGAAAGGCAGAAGCTGAAACCCTTCATTCCTTCTAGTTGTTTGCAGAGCTGCTATTTTATCTTTGCTTTAAAAAAAAAAAAAAAAAGGTATATTCACATATATCTCAATTTTCATTCAAAAAGCACCTGCAGAAAACTACACAGAAGGCAATTCTCTGTCACCATGATCAGTTCCTGCTCTCAGCTTTCATCGTCACTGCCGACTTCTCCAGGACTCTTCAGAAGGGGGAAAAAGACTTGTTTGCTTGTACTCCATGACATACAAATACTAACACCGTGATAGATACACAGCTGACTGAAGCCACCAAAACCAGCCCTTCTCCCACTTTTCGGTGGGTACACAACTTTTTCTCTAATAATTTGTCCTGCCACTCTCTCTGACCCCCCTTTCCCTACATCAGGTCTCCTTCCAGCCCTGCGCATAAGGACAACCACAGTGGGGGGAAAGGCATATATTAGTAAGGTATTTATTCAATGCATTATCCAGCCATCTGCTAAACCAGATGCCTTTGTTAACCCAGTGAGAGAACGATTCATCACTGAGATGTTAATTGCCCTCCTGTACATACCCATGCTGATGGGGGTGCTGAAAAACTGGCAAGTGACATAGTAATTGATTTTTTAAGGGTATCCTCTACCCTCTGCTAAATGGAAATATCCTGGTTAGTCTACCAGCTCTCTCAAGAAGCCTGAAATAAGTGACTTCAGAAGGGATGAGGACTCTGAGGAAAGGGCATTAAGACAGAAACTGCAAAGTGTTAGTCCCGGATTACACAGGGCGATGGTGGCAAAGAGGAGGAACAACCCCGGGGGATGACCAAGCCCATGTCCTTGCTGTAGCTCACGGATGTGCTCTCCTGGGCAGAGCTATGGACAGCCACACACCCAGCTCAGGGGCTTCGGCTCCTCTGGCATCAGATGCAAACAGCGATCCTCAAAAGTGAAGATGGCTCTGGTGTTGATAGCTTAGAATTACCCAGGACATGCACAGACGTGGAGCTCTGCCAGCAGGGAAAAAGCTACAACCCCATTCAGCCCACTGGGAAATTCATGGAGATTCATGCCTGTGAACTGCTTCTCTGAAGGAACAATTAAGCATGGTTTGGTTTGTTGTTTTTTTTTAAAGGATTGTATAAAAGAACACATGCTTTCTATGGGAGATTTCTGGATGAAAAGCATTAATCATTCTCCAGTTTGTTCTTTTGTTGTTGTTGTTTTTTAAAGATCTAAACAATCTCTACTACCATTTTGTAGCAAAAGACAGAAAAGTGTGTTTTCTATCGATAGAAACATGGGCAATAATGCAGTCAGCCTCATAATCATGTCAGGAGTTACATTCTTAATAGGCTTGGAAAATATAGGCCGACCATGAAATAAATATTAAGTAGTTAATTTTCATTTTATTTCTTCATGTAGGTTTGGATTAATCATGAGCTGCCCTCAGAAAAACATGCTCCTTCTATGAACTTGGGTTCCTACACTGCTTTGAAAAATAAATGAATCATCCCTGTTATTCCTCCTGTTATTGTCTGGTTTTACTCTAATCCTTCTAGATGTGACCACTTTAGATTATTTTATACAAAAGTTTATTTTAACATTTCCTCTCTACAATATCCTTAATCAGCTCATTCCATATCTTTTATAAAAATCACATATATTGAAGCCTCATAACCACCCTGCAGGAGAACAGTAGAGCACATTTTAAAACATCTTAATAAATCAACATTTAATTATCAGCTCTTCCAAGCACCATCTTGAACCAGAATAATAATCCAGGACTCCTTCTGCCTTGCTTTAATCTCCACTTGTCTTTCTAAAGGTTCATTAGCTTGGAGGTGAGTGATCATTACGGAATCACTGGCATCCCCAGGAAATATGGAGGTTGCAGGTACGACCCTGGTGTGTCCCACCAGACCAGGACGTGGGGAATGATGACACTGTGTCCCCACCATGCACCTTCCTCCTTATATCTATAGAAAATGCACTGATGGGAGCACACAATCCCTGGGAGCATGCAAAGCAGACAGCATCGCAATACAAACACAGGAACTCCACTTCTGAGATGTCAAGAATTGGAAGAAAATGCTTTAGGGAAGTGCAATATCTTAGCACAATTTGAGAAAAAAACATCCACAGTGTTTTTGGGGGGCTTCCTGGAGATTACAGCTTCCCAACACCTTTATTACACAATTTCTTATTAACATAACATAATTCTTACTGAATCACAGCTCAGGCATTAGTGACAACAGTCACCATCAGCAATGCCCAATCAGAATTGCAATTACTCCTTTGAAATCAGAGCAGGGTCTCAATTCCTCCAAATCTGGATATCCTACCTCTGGCTGCTCCCAGGAGAGGACAACAGGTCCTACAGAGGACAACAGCAGAGGAAGAGAAAGAAACAAAAGGGCGAGTGAAATGGAGAGAGGGGAGAAGAAGCAGTGGGAAAAAACCAAAGTGTTTGACCTGGCAACTTGCTTTAAGCCTTGATAAGCCAAGCCGAGCTCTCCATCTTCATTAAGATATCCCCAGTCCTCAGTCTTGCTAGAAATAAAGGACAGAAAAAGGAAACAAGAGGACAAAGACAAAAGGTCAATTGCAATAGAAGGGGAAAAGGTGCAGAACCCTTATTTTATTTTTTAAAGCACACTTTCATTACATTGTATTTGTTTTCTATGATGCTGAAGGAGAACCATACCCTGGTCATGCCCCATAGGACACCCCTGGCTAGTGGAGCTCCTCCTCCCCTCCCCAGCTGTGAAATGTGTCTTCATGCAGCCTCTTCCTCCCCAACCCACCACAGTCAACACGGCAACCCAAAATCATTCAGGTGAGAAGGGATCACCCGCAGATCACCCCGTCCAACGTCTTGTCAAGTTATCACCATTCCTGAGATGCTACTGTTTTTAACAAAAAGCCTAAATTCCTGGAAGTCAGAGCCTGAGTTTTTGTTTCTGTGTGGATAAACTGTTTCCTGTATGATTGCAAGGAAAAACTGGCAAGCCCACGCCACACCAGCTAGCTCAAATCCTCATTAAAACCTTACACTTAAAAACCAACAAGGAGGAACAAGGACCATGAGGGATAAATGAGAGAGCAGAAAGTCAGCATGAGGGGTAAGGAAGAGGTGTCGAAACGCAGCGAGGGTAAAATGAAAAGCAGAGTGATCCTTAGCAGCTCCCAGCAGGCTTCCTTCCTTCATCTTCCCCAAAATTAACTATTTTTGAACTGGAACAGCCCACATACACTTCCAGCCCACAGTGCAAACATAACCCAACCCTGTATTTTACTGCATGCTGATAGTTTGGAAGAGCTCATTCCTCTTCCAGACTTTCTGTGCTTTGGCACATCTCACTAATAAGACATTTTTAAGGCAAGTTTCTCCATTTCCCTCCTTCTGCAGCAATTTCCACTGGTCTAAAAGAAATTCTCTTCCTCCTACTTCAGTTGAGGGTCTCCTCAATCATCGAGTCAAACACATCCACCTTTCCTCAGAGCAACTTTTGGCCCAAACACCCCTTGGATGTTCATGTCCTTATATCCATGAGACCAAATCTCCTCTGTAACCGTCCAGGCAGTAAAATACCCTGAAAAGTCTCATCTCACTTTAGTACTAGAATTTTTTTTTTAACAGGTTGGGGTTTTTTTTGAAGTTACAAAATGCAGGGAACTCACTTATCTTCATTAATGAGGTGTTGAACACATTACAAATGAGCCATGTCAGCTGGTCAACCTGATCAGGAACACTTGCTCCAGCGAGATTTTACTTGGTTTTGATGTCAGTTAGAAAACAGTTGTTCAAAATAATAATAAAATACAAACAACGACAAAAAAAATCGCTTAATGTATCATTAAACTTTCAGACAAAAAAAAAAAAAGAGCCAAAATACATTTCCTGTTTTGAAAAGAGGCACAGCAGATGCCATCCCCTGTGGCGGAAAGCTCTGCGTATTTAAGTAGAAAAGCACAACATGCAAACTTTCTATAGCAAATTTTCACACAAGGAAAGCAGTGAGAAGAAATGTGGTGTTGCAGCACTTCCACAAAAGGACTCAAGAGGTGTCTCGCTGCTGCACACGGCTTGTACATCCCTTCCATCCTGGTGAACGAGCATGGCATTTCTCAAAAGTAGCAAACATTTCGGGCATTAACATTTGGAAAATTCATCTGTTAAAGCCGTATATATGAATTTAAACTAAAGCCTTGGTTTTACCCCATACGTAGCAGGTTTCCAAAGGGGTCTGTAGGCTGACAGATGGAGGTTTATTGGTCCAATTTGGATCAATTCATTAGTAAGGTCTTTTATTTGGTTCAGATAATCTTAACAGAACATGTACTTAGGCACTGAAAACCAAGAAAAAACCCAGGAGGGATCCTCATTATTTATTACATGTTAGTAATCTAGGAAATTTCACACAATGAGCAGCATTTTCAAGAGATACTTTCTCCTGGATAAGCTCCTTTGAAAAATAGCTTCCTTCCTCTTTTAATCACACGCATTGTGAATGAGGAAAGCAGCTCAAGGGGGTGCCATTATACTAAGACAAAACTGCCCTGGGAAATAAGCATTCAGCCTATGTCCATCAACATGGCACTGGCTCAGAAATCACTGAGCTTCCCTTCTCCCAGAAGTTCACACTGACCAAGACATTAAAAGTCAATTCAGGTCCTTTTAGCTAATTAGATTAATTAGGATGTGCCAAAATAATTTCGTAAAATGCTGGGTATATCCTTCTCTCAAATAAGGCTGAAAGGAGTTGAAAGGACATGCTTCATAAAGCCTCATTTCTCCTTTATCCTTATCTTGGAGGTACAGGTTTTGGGGAGCAGCTGGTGACCTGTCTTCATGAAAAATAAAGAAATTCCTGCCCAAATACCCATCTTCCCTTCTCCATGTCGCCTGATGCAAGTAGCTTAATGGAGGTGCATGTGCACCAAACCCCAGAGATTTAATTTTAGCATCTTCAGATAATTATCATCTCTTAATAAAGAAGGGGCATTTAATTTTCAAATACAGATATGCCTTTTTTTTTTTAAATTAAATGGAAAACTAATGCACACCGCAGATTAGGTACATGACAGTGGGAAGCAGTGATAAGAGGAGACACATTGGAAGTGGTATGTGAACCCTTTCCTTGTGATGGCCTCTTCCAGCCGCAAAAGCATCCTCTACGTGAAGCCAGTGTCAGCCCTTCACTTTGCACTGCAGCTGTAGGTGGGACTCACCCAGCAGAAAAAAAAAAAACAAAACCCAAGCCATGTACTCTATAGAAACCACTTGGAAGTTAATCACGGAAGTCAATTTCTAAGATTACACCTGATTTGCTTTGAGCTGCCAGCTTATCTCTAACGTCATCACCTGGTCTTTTGGTTTCCACCAAGATCAAACAGGCTTGAAAGAACGATCCCCAGAACTGAAACAGGGAACAAAGATCCTACCTAGCTTTACATTCAGTTACTGAAGCAGAAAATTAGCTGGAAACCAACTTGATGCTTTTCCCTTTAGCACTTGAAAGTCAGCAAGAGTTAAAAAATAAAAAGGAAAAGAAAAAAAAGCCAAGTTCACCGCATTTATAAGGGGTTGCTTTTAACTCAAATTTTCCCTTGACCTGGCATCAGAGGGTTTTCTGCCAAGAGTGGTGTGAAGAAAGAGAATCACTATGTGAGCAGGGTTAGAGCCACTGGCAGTTTTTCCTGTTTTCCTCCTGCTGTATTTATTTAAAAGTTCTGTATTACAGACGTAGAGCAAATAGAAAGTCTATCTCCCACCAAAATAAAGCCAGGCTCTATCCCCAGCCTAAGCAGCTAAGAGGTGATGACTTCAAGCTAGGGGTGACCTATGGGTGGACCATAGCTTTACCACATCGGTCAGACTGGGCCAGTAGAGAAGAATTCCAGCTCAGTTAGAAGGAGCCGACAAAATGAGAGGAATCAGGATAAAAAGAAATGGGAGTGCTTCTTGAAGCGCAGGTGGGAGAAAAGTGGTTCTTGCTTATTGATCCCACTTCAGAACTGCAATCCCACCATAAAAGCTTTCCATTAAAATATTTTTTGACCAAGACTAGAAAGAGCAAGCAGTTGTGTTTCACATGCTGACATGCTTGGGTATAGACCTACGTCAGTACACATGCAAATTTTTGCTGAGGGGAAGTGAACGTTAATTTATATCGACAAATACAATAACACATGCTCCCCGAGTGCTCGTTTTCATCTGTTTTAATGCCATCAACTCCAGCTTATAGTTCATAAACCAACCCAATATACAAACAAATGCACAGGGAACCACATAACAGGGAAGCTGGTGGCGATTAACGAGCCATTGGATCAAATCGCCACAAAACATCAGGGTAATAGCAGGCTAGAGCTACTGCTACTGTAGTAGAGCAGCCAAGCTTCATATGACAGGTAGATGAGAGAGTCAATAGGAAGCTGAGCAAGGAGACTGCAGATTTCCCTTCCCAAACCTCAAGAGACCAAAACACACCAAGGCCACATCACACGGAACTTCTTAAATTGCAGCTCACCTGTCCAACAGCAAGGAAAGAGATTTGTACTCTTGTGGAAAATTAGATCTTTGTGGCATTTTTGATGATTTCTCCGATTCAATCCTCCCTGCAGAAGTCTGGAAACTCCCGGCAGGTTGAGTGAAAGCGGACAACATGCACTCCAGGATAGCCAAATAACTGTTCCTACTCAGGACCAGGGACACAACCTGGTCAGACATGTGCCCTGTGAAAGCATCAACTCCTGCCTTGACCCCAGCTCCTTCACTAACCCCTGAACACTAACCAACCATCCCTACACATGTACGCTGGAAAATGTGGTTGAGGGAGGAAATAAAGCTGAGCCTGACAATGGGATTTCACATCCATACCCGCGCTCACAGCTCCAGGACAAAGTTGGAAGGAAATAAGAGCAAATTCACAGAATTCATTAAGTGGCCAAAAATCACAGCTTGCAGGAGGAAGCACGCTGAGCCCCATTGATTTACTGATAAAAAGGTGACATTCAAATCAATCTCATCACCCTCACTGCAGGACAGGCAGAAATTTCATCTGCAAGTTCACTTCAGGAAAGCCAATATTCACTGGTAACAAACTGAAAACAACCAAAGCCTGTTCCTTGATCCAGCCAGAAAAGATGCCTGGGGGAGAAGCCAGTGTCACGAGAGTCCTGGACCCAGCAATCCCCACTCCTCCAGGTCCCTGGGCCAAAGTGAAAACTGGCAGCACTGATGTGGGCTGAGCCTCGGGCCACCCATCAGGGTTTAAGCTATATGTAAACGCAATGCATGTGGAACCCAGCCCTTCCAGCAAGCCCGTCTCGGGACTCACACAGAGTAACTGGGGAGATCTCCAAAAATTCTCCTCAACAAGTCAAACAGACACAAAGTCAGGAAGTCCTGCCCATACTATGGCAGGAATTTGGGGGACGTACAGCACAGACATGATGACCAAAGCTGGCCACACGGCTATATACACACATTGAATTTAGGCACATCAATCCGGGCACGTGGATTTCCCACTGCACCTTTCTGGTCACACAGTTCTGAGAGTGTTGAGCAACTCTTCACAATTTTTCATATTGCATTCAAAGACGGTGTGCCTTTCCTCTTATTTGTACAGGTATGAATAAAATCCTAATTAAGTCATGGTATTTTCCAGCCTGGACTGCTAACAACCTTCTTGCCACCAGTTCACAAAGTGGCAAAGTATGGGTGTTATAAAAAAACATTAATCCACAATGGTTAGGTCTTCTGACTATCTTGCTGAACACAAATTATTTAGGAAAAAAGCCTCAAACATCTATTTGTCAAGAAAAAAGGAGATGAACATTCAATTTCCTTGCAATAAAATAAATATTTATTTTCTATATTATCTTGCTGTTCAATCCATGTTATTTTGTCTTCTTGCAAGACACTACTTTTATTTGATCTCCTCCTAGATAGCTACGAAGATTGATTTAATGCCTCTCAATATAAGCTCATTGTTACTGTTAAGGACAGACACGTGTTCACAATATTAACCCTTTCTATGGGAAACCTGTAAATCAAACGAATATTCCTCTTAGTTTAGACACAAGAAAGCCAATAACGTGGGCACTGCCAGAAAATATAGCATATGTTGGTTAGCTCAGTCCACCATCACGGGCTTTTGCCTCTGGGAAAACGAGAGGGGAACAGTGCTGTTCTCCCAGCATAGCATGAAGACTTCTTATATATTTCCCAAATCCTTATCTTGCTACTATTTGTTTACTGGAAGCAAAGTCAAACCCCAGTTTTGCTCACTTCCATGTTGGCTTTTCTACCTGCCACTATCTCCCCTCCCTTGGGGTCACACTGCCCCAAAGACGAGGGCTCCTCACCCCACCACAAGACCTATCTTCGGTCCCATCTTTATGGCCTACCCTCGACCCAAGGTCCAGAACACAATCCAAAAGCTGGTAACCCTCTAAAACACGCTGTCAATTTTGCTCAGGATCTCATCTCTCACACTTTGGTCAGCTCCTCCTGCTGCTGGAAAAATTTGGGCCACACTTACCGGTTTGTCTTGCACATCCCCTGGTAGGCTTCAATCGCGTCCTCCTGACCAATGTGCTTGTCACTGTTGGGCCAGCTGGCATCGGTGGGGATGCTCTCCTAAATTTAACATGCAAAACACAGCAGCGTGACATCCTGCACATCCCCTCCTCTCTTTCAAAGTTCCTGGTACCAAACAACTCCCAACCATCCTTAATAGAGCTTCCTCAGGGAAGAACTAGACTAGAGAGCTTCTATGAATTTGTATGCATGTAAACACACAGCAGCAGAGATGAGGAGATGGAGGGAGGATGCAGGGAACCTGGGACAGAGATAAAGGGGGTGTGTGATCTGAAATAGAAAACATGAAAACCTCAAGGAATGATAAGGCAGTGAATTAAAAAGCCCAAGTGAGAGTTTTCAGAAAATTCAGAGAGTTTTCTGTCAGAACAGGCTCTAAACAAAAAGCCCTCAAATGACTGTGATGGGACAGGCTCTCTTCTTGCCTACACACCAGTAGAAACACATTACAGCTGCACCAGCATCAAGTGAGCAGAATCTGGTCCAGAAGCTCTCTTCCCCTGACATGTTTCCTTGCAGAATAACCCAGTTGTCACAAACCATCACTGGGAACCTCTCAGACCACCACACCTTGGTGCAGGGCTGGAGAAGCTGTTCCTTGGTGTGGGTTGGCGAGACCTCATCAGGTGTGGGGTCAAAGCACCTCACAGCAGTACAGACCACCATGGGACATGTAGTCCTGGACTGTGTGAAATGATGTCATGGACAATATCTTATCCATAGGCAGAACCTCCTATAACCTCCCCGTGCCATCCTTCCACCCAGAGCCTAGCAAAGCAGAAATGGCATCGCTCAGGCAGTCAGTGAACTTCCAGCAACAGAATGGGAAAAGAAAATCCATAACCCTCTCAGTTACCGTGTTCTTCTCTGTCCCTTTCTGCTGGGCTGCCTTCATAATCTGTGTCCTCAGGATGAGCACCTCTTCCTTCCGCACTTCCAGCTCCTCGTTGGCAGATTTCAGCTGGTTCAGTAGGAGGTTGTACCTGTCCTGCACATCGCTGGATGAGCTATTCTGGGTTGCTCCATCTGCAATGGCCTTCCTCAGCTCATTTAGTTCATTTTTCAGCTTCTTGTTCTCTGACTCCAGCTCTTGCCTCTGGAAAATACCGAGCCATTAACCAGTTTAGATAAACTGCCTTGCAAGGCCTCATCCTTTTCTGAGACACCTCTGAAGTAACTCAATTACTGATGATCACAGCCGAATGATCGATTCATGACAGGACCTAGATTTTGCTGCCAGTCCAGCCACATGTTGTTCAGAAAAGATTTTTCCTGTAATCAGTAGCCTGTTGCTACTTAATAACAACACTACAGGGTGAGAGAGGGGAGATTTTTTTTAATTTGTTGATGCTATTTTTAAACATAAAATCAAGCCGTTAGAGATGTCAAACATGTTTGTTTCTTCTCTAGCCCTTTTCCTTCTCAATCAAGAAATCACCACAAACCCCACAATGTTTAGCTCATCTTTCATATTCATTAAATAAGCTGGAAGATGCCCATTTACGTGACCCTGCATCATGGCAGACATCCCATTACGTAAGCTATGGCTGTGTGAATTCCCAATCCTTTCCTCATATATTTTGTAATTCTCCCACCCCGGTGCAATGTTTGCAGTTGGGGGATTTTCTCACCCTGATGTCTTGTCAGCTGCTGGCATTTGAAGGCAAAAGCAATATTAGTACAAGTTTGATGCCAACTGCTTCTCCTGAATAATGATACAGGAGCATCGCTGTGTTCTCCAAGACAACTGAAGGGCTTATTTGCTTTTGCATGACAGTAGAAGACAGAATAAAACTCTGGCAGCTAAGCAGCCTTTATTTCAGCATTTCACCAAGAAACAGATGGTAACACCACCTTTGGCAGCACTTTGCCAGCGCTCAAAACCCACCTGGGGCATCCAGCTGGGTCAAGAGCAGCTCTGCTTCTGCAGATGGGGCAGTCCTTGCTATGGGTCGCAGCTGGGGGGCAGAGCCTGACCCCCAGGGTCCTGCTCATGGCCCAAATCCCAACAGCCCACCAGATCCTCCACCAGCAGCTGCTGCACGGTGGCACCCAGAACTGCTCCCTCATGTCCCCATGCACCCGGGCCTCTCAGAGAACACCAAAACCCAAGAGGAACGTCATCCAGCTGTCACAGGGCAAAACCAGAGATGCCTACAAGCTATATGACAAAGTCTGGTGTCCCAGTGATTTGGGGTCAGGCCTCTCCTAGGGACTGAACCCCATCCATGTGGATTCTCTAGTGTCTACAACAGCACTAGCTCTTTCCCTACTAAGATCTATGTAATTTCTTCTTCCTGCTGCCTCTTGACCCTTTGACCCTTTCCACAGATTCCCCCCCCCCCCAATCCATCTTATCTATGGGATATCTGCTTCATTATCAGCATTGGCTGATGCGAGTTAATGAATCCAAAAATGGCTGGGGGGGGTGGAGGCCATTTATGCAATTCATACAGTGTGTAGCTAGCACAGCTGTGTAAACCTTGTTTCCATAGGAAGCGGGTGTTGTAATTATAAATCCTTACAAATTATAAATAGCATGCCTTATCACATCAGAGGTGTGAACAGAATAGCAGAGCTGGCATCTGGACAGCAGGCATATTCCTAGGTGAACAAACACCATCATTAACGGAGCATATTCAGGTACTTTATACTATCTGTCATTTAAAAAAAAAATAAAGGGGGGGATAAGAAATGCATTAGATCCAGCAATTCCTCCACGTCCACATTAACAATAGCTCAGCAGAGGGAGCATGTGAGACACTGGCTTTTCTGTAACTGTTTTTTAAAATTAGTTTGGAGACATGTGGGTGCAGTAGGGAATCAAGGCCAAAGCGGGTTTAACTCTTCTTGCCATGTGGCTAAAGCAACAACTTGCTTTCCACTCTTTTCTTATCATTCTCGGAGACATATGAAGGGTAAGAAGAAAGTGATTAAGTGCTTTTCTAAACAAACAGCTCTTCTTTGATTTTTGCTATTTGCTGTATAAGACCCCTGCTATTCTTTCTCTTTCCCTCCCTCCTCCCTCCTCTTTCACTTTTTTGAGATGGGTCAGCCACACTGCTCAGTCCAGGGACTGCTCACATCAAGCATGCTCTGATTAGAAACAAAGCCAGGATGACAGGGGTTCTTCAGTCTGGAGAAGAGGAGGCTGAGGGGAGACCTCCTGGCCCTCGGCAACTCCCTGCCAGGAGGGGGCAGAGAGGGGGGATGAGTCTCTGGAGCCAAGGCCCCAGCGCCAGGCCCCGAGGGAATGGCCTCAAGCTGCCCAGGGCAGGGTCAGGCTGGCTCTGAGGAAGGATTTCTGTGCAGAAGGGGCTGTTGGGCGTTGGAATGGGCTGCCCAGGGCAGGGGGGAGTCCCCGGGATCCCTGGAGGGGTTGAAGAGTCGGGCTGAGCCAGCGCTGAGGGATCTGGGGGAGTTGGGAACGGTCAGGGTGAGGGTCATGGTTGGGCTGGAGGAGCTGCAAGGGCTTTTCCAACCCAGATGATTCTGGGATTCTATAAAAGTGGTAACAAACAACGCTGCTCCAAGAGCCCATGCCCTGGACTCCTTTCCGAGTTCACATTTAAATTCATTCCCTAGTCCTATCTTGGTGGCTTTCACAGACCAGTGTTACAATATCTATAGATCTGTTGTTCCCTGCCTGTACACCCTTTTTGCACCAGTACCAGTGATGGCAGAACAGAAGCCAAAATAAAATTCTTTGAATGTGGAAAGGGAGATTTCTGCTTACACTGTGAGAAATGCTTTTTCTTCAGCATTGTCCAATAGCGATGATTTATTTTACAAGTTATACAGTCAGAACATCCTGAACTTGAACTCACACTTATCCCAACATGTACAGGTTATGGAGGTGTGAAAGGGGTACCCAAGCACTAATGGTGATGGAAATAGCCTCATTTTTTAAGAAAGGGCTTATATAGCAGTGCTGGATGAAGCATGAGCCTGTGTAAATCAGAGGTTAGTACTACCATGCCAGGAACTTACCCTCTCTTCTATTTCTGGCCCTCAACAGGAAAAGAAAATAAAATTCTCTAGAAGCTCATTTTATGATGAGCTTCCAAGTCTAAGGGATGAAACAAACATCCCAGCTATGCGAAGAGCGAGAAATTAAATTACGCATTGTGCTCCTGCTAGGAGCACAAAGTCGGGGCAAGGACTCCTTCATGCCTTCATTCCTACCCCACTTTCCCAGCCTGAAAAAACAAGCTGGAAAATACATTTTTCGCTGGGGAACTTTTTGTTGTACAGGCATGACTCAGGGATGTATCTCCCATGAGGGAGATGTTTCACATCCCTCCAGCCCTGCATCATGGCTAACCAAACACCTACCTGGGCATATTTTGGGACAGCATCTACTGAAAGCTCTCTTTATCCATTACAAAGGACACATAATTCATGCCTGCTGTAAATATATCAGTGTTTGCCCAAATTTCTGACATTTCTTCACAGTGTTACAAAAAGAAACAATCAACCCTTATCCAAATGAGCCTTACTAAGGAAGGAGTGTGCATCAAAATCTGCACCAAGAACGGGCTCCCCAACAAAAGCTAATCCCAAAGGCAAATCCTGGCCATCGTGGGTGTTGTGCTGGTACAGGACACAAAATTGGATGACAGAAGACATGTATGAAGTAGCACACCATGTGCTGGTTGCAAAAACCAAGCCCACATGGCCATCCACTAACACCCACACTTTGCATATATCTTGAATGGGACCCAGAAGGAAACAGAAGTCAGTGAAGACTCAGGTCACAAAGCAGTGAACAAGACCCAGGAACAACCTTAACCTCCAACAAAACCCACTCTTCAGCAATACCTGTGTTTATTACATTCACCCAAACTGATACTTGTATGTATTATTTTTAAATAATGCATGGAGTTATAAATATATTTACATTTTTATTGTGTTTATATATTTTACTCGTATTTATCCAAACCAAACCCTGGGTTGTTCATGACCATATCCAAGCATCTCTCCCCCATCCAGTGCAAGACACCATGATGAGCTGTTAAGCTGCATCAGTAACAGTGTTCACACCTCACCTAGGTCAAAATTCATATTCAATTCCAGGGAATTACACTAGTTTCTGAAAAGACACTGCAGTCACCTTTCTAAAACCTCCTGAAACATTTCCAAACTGGCTGAGGAGTCTCAGTTTCCAAAAGATAGTGCATCAGCAGTGCAAAGCTAACATCCCTTCCTCCTCTGTAAGCTGGTATCTCATGGACCATTCAAAAGCATCCACTGGAAGAGTCTGCTGTAAGCTTTTAGACACCTCAGCTTAGTTCCCCAAGATAAAGGCTTTTTAAGCTGACAAAGAGGAAAAAATAAATCTAATTACACAAGACTCTTGAAGGAGCCAGAGACAGTATAAATATTTGAGATACAAATCAGCAGGAGAAATAGAAGAGAGGATGAGCTTTGCTGTAATCGCAGAGCAGCTGTCGTGGGGAAGGAGGGAAAAGCAGCACTCAAAATCAGCAGTAAGACACTCTTTCACTGCAGATGGAGACTTCAGGCAGCGTCCTATATTCACAAGCTGGGAAAACACCAGTGAGCTGTATTTGTCTCTTTCAGTGGTTCCTTTCAGGCCAACACACCTATAGCAGATGCAAAATCCTTTCCTTTAGGGCTAAGGATTACCATTTGAAGGCAATTCCTTTAGGGCTAAGGATGGCATTTGGAACAATTGTTCCTTGCTTTTCACAGTGATGTCAGCTCTTCCTAGACTGACAGTCACCCAAGGCTCCAGTACCCAAAGTATCATGTGCTACAGCTGGTATGTGCAGGTCTGCGCTGTGTTAGAGCAAGCTCTTAGACCTGGCTGCTCCTTGTTGCAACCTTCAGCTCATTTTTGTGCAACTCTGGCAAGAACCTTGTGCTGGAGAAACTCTGCAGTGCAACACCACTGAAAACAAACTCTGAGGTGTGTTTTCTTGCAAGTTCATTTTCCACCTGTTTGAGGCTAAAGATTAAAGAATGCTGCTTTTTTTTTTTTTTTTTTTTTTTTTTTA